TTCTGTTGGCTTTAAATAGCTATAATTAGCTGAAACTCAACAATCTGTAACATTGCCCTGAAACTTCTGTAACAGCATGGCATACACAGTAGACTATGGCAATATGTAAATAGACTATTATTCTGGAAATAGGAAGTACACTATTGTGCAACAGTGGTGTATATAAACAATACCTTACTGTAAAAAACAGCACAATTAACTTCTGTAAATAAAAAGCTGTATTTCTGGATTACAGCAACGTGCTGCAATTCTGAATTGCTGTATTAGCACTGTAAATAAACAGCACTATGCTGGTGACACTGCTGCCAGTTAAGTACAGCAATTTGACAGGCACATTTTTTACCATATTAACACCAAATCCTCTGTTGTGTTGATAATGATCCACCACTCTAATAATATCTGGTCAGTAGCGATTCTGTGATCAGAAACTGACCAATGATGAGAGGAGTAGAGGGTAACTGACAAAATTTGCAGCAGAGCTGCAGTGTGTAATTGCATAACTATACAGTGTTGCTCATGAGGTTCCTAGTGAAAGTGCATGATAGGTGTTCTTATGTATGTGTGTATGTGTAATAAGTAACCTATAAATAAATAAGATGGAAACTCGAGATTTCAGTCAGAGGAGTGCATAGTAATGTAGGCCAGTTGATGTCACACATCCACAGCGCACCAACAAACCTAATGTTCAGTATCTTAACAATACTCCCCCTATCATTTCCCAACTAATGGAGCAGCAAATGGGATAACAAGGTCCTCTAGATTTGTAGGCCGTCTCTCGGAATTAACACATTTATGAGCTCTGTCTAAATTAAACAAATCATTGATTTTATGTATGGGAGTTATTGTGCCATATTCTGGCGCTGAGTCTTGGCGAAGCTTGATGCTGATTGGCTTGCTTGGCTCTTGAACCCCCCCCCCACCCCTTAGGTCCATCTCCTGTGAAGAGAAAACCAAGAGACCCCCACCCTCTTCCCTCTCAGGTGCTTGGCAGACCACCATGGTGAGGAAACAAAGCCTCAGAGTGTGACACACGCGGGGCCTGGGCTTTAGTTAAATATAAAAGCACCGCACATGTGTGTGTTGGTGGGTGAGTGTGGGGGGGAGGGGGGTGTCTGGAAGGATTCACCGAATCATCTGCCATTTTTAGAGCACTTGCTTCCCTTCCTGTTCATGCTGTTTGATCATGTTGCACTGCCTCGCTACAACACGGCTTACACAGTGTCTCTCACTCTTTCTCTCTCCTGCTCTCTGTTCTCTTTTGAGCCCCCCCACAGAGTCAGACACACGCAGGCCAGGCCATGCAGCAGACCTTGGCGGGCTGCTGCGAGCACCGGGCATCCTCAGGTCTGGATTGAGATGAGAAGAGAAACCCTTAATACAATTTCAATGGAGGAAAAGCAACCTGCTCCTAAAGGCTCTCATGCTGGGCGAGGGCTTCCTTTAATGCGGGACGGCCTCTAAAGTGAACTGTTACATCAGACAGGTGGTGGAGAAAGAGAGAGAAACAGAGAGAGTAAGAGTAAATGAGTCACAATAGAGACTCCCACTCAGAGATACTCATTAAATCTCTCTCTCTACCACTCTGTTACATTCGTCAGTGACCACAGCTTCTCTCACTTTTGTCCCTTTCCTCTGCCTTTTTGCCTTTGCATTGTGTAATTACATTATCAATTGATCTGATTTGACTGAAGTGTTAATGTAACCCCTTAAGGCGACGGTTTGGCAAAAAAAAAGAAAAAATTACGCAGTGTAGTTGATTGGCCAAGACATGTTTGCTGTCTGAAGGTTGCTTCTTTAGTTTTGCACTGGAGCTACAAGGCTAATGTAGCTAACAAGTAACGGAAGCTTAGTTACCAGTTAGCATTGTGCAGACTGCATGCCATAATCATTATACACTTTCCTTAAATTGGCCATTAAACTGCTCAGTAATCTCAAATAGACTAACTTATGTGGTTTTTGACACTGTAGAATCTATATAAATGATAAAAATATGGCTTCAAGATGGCTGCTACCGCTGTTTTTAGCTATGTGTATATCCGTTTGTCGTAGTTAATTGTCAACATAGGTCTACTAAGGAATTGTTTGTGTTTTTTTCCAAACTATTTCATCAAACATAGATCAAATGTTTATTTTAGTTATTTTTGTTGATGTACTGTATGCAAGATAAAACTGATTGCACATGAGGTCACCAGGACTTGATTTTTTCCTTTCTTGTGTTGGCGAAGAGTAGCTCGGTGACAAAGGGGCCCGCTTGCAGGGTACGGGGTGAAGAAATACACCGTTTCATTTAAGCGCCTCTTAACAGGCCAACCACTTCCATCGCTAAGTGACAGAAATGAATAGCCACTGGAGACATGCATCTGACAGACAACAATAAGGAGGTAGTCTTCGTTCCCCAGCTTTGTGTGGGCCGTCTCCCTCTCTCTCTCACTAAGTCCTCTGGTGCGTTTTTCATCAGGACTGGAGCTGCAAAGGTAATAATTAAGAGCGGAGTGATGGGTGGAAATGATGTCTCTGTTATTAAAGCTCTCCACCAGGCCCAAACAGTAGATTCTCAATTATTGCTTCACCCTACATTATCAGGACATTGGAAAAGTCAGAATCACTCAAAGCAAATGAATTGGTGACGTGCATCTTTTCTTTTGGTTTCTTGCTGTTATGTTTAGTTTCTTGTGTGCTCATTTTAAGGGGGAAGGATGCAAATGGTGGTGGCTTTGGTGGGGGAATAAGGACCACCAGCAAAATAAATTAATAATGATATGAAGACACAACTACATACCCTCAAAATGATAATCCCTTAAACTATAGGATTATTGAGTTACTTCTCTTAAGATTTATTATTAAACAACTATCAATCATACATTAAATACTATTAAACTGATATATAAGTAAAGTAGTTATGAGAGTAAGAAACTGAGGTGTGGACCCACATACAGGCCCTTGCAGTTTATTAAATAATGAATGAAATGTTAAGCCTTATGCATGTAAAATACTGTGGCTGCTTTTTTTTGGTTTTACTCTAAAGTTGCACTAGATTATATGATGCCTCTTTTATCTTCTAATGAACTGTTACCATTTGAATGGTGAAGTGAGAAGCCACTATTTGCAGTTGAATGAAGCCTCTTCGGCTACTGTACCTCCACTTTTAAATCTACTGCTGCAGAGACACACAAGAGCCTCTGCCTTACTTGTAATGGCTTCAATCAAGTCATTGGAACGTGTTTGTTATTTGATAGAGTCCAGGGAGAATGTGAAATGGCTTAAATCGAATGAGGGGCTCTCCAAATGGAGAGTGCGAGAAGATGTCTGCTTAAGCCTGGTAAAAAGAGCTGTCATCAAAGCACTCCTCCACCAATCCACACCAGTCCATTTAGAAACACGTTAAGAGATTGAGTCCTGAAATTTGATTTTGAATGGAGAGGGACCCTGGACGTGGATGGGCTTTTTCCTCCTCTGCTGCACTGATACTCAAACGGTGGTGATTAGCAATACAACAGAGTGCTAATGTGGAGTAGTAAGGCCCTTATGGGTGCCCATCACCCCACAACCTCTTTTAAAATCCACTCAGACCTGCTGGGAAGGAGCAATTCTTCACTCTAACCACATTTCACATTTAATCAAAAACATATGTCAGTGCAACCTTATCAAACAAGCAGTTACAGGTCAAAATATATATAATATCCAGAGACTAACAAGGCCTGTCTGTTGGAACTGTGGCTAAACTGCACTGCAGTTCAAACTCTTTCCAGCAGGTGGATAGGATTTATGAAGGTTCTACAGTCATTTTGTCAGGCGGTAACTTAAACCACAGGAGCCTCACTGACTACACTACCACCTAAATCGCTTAGTTTTCCCAAAAAGCTGAAACGCTGGAGATACATAGTTTGATGCTCATATTCTTAGACATATTCCTTTCACAAAGTTTCTATAGATTACATTGCAATTTTGTCTGAGAATTGTTAAAGTCTCAGAAGTATCTGTTGGAACTTGGAGGTGAATTAAAAAACACAGTAATTATTTTATCTGGAAAAGTTAGCACATTAATGATCATATTTAATACCATTTCAATATTTCACTTGGAAATGAACTATTTAAAAACAGGCATAAATTATATTTGTCTATGTACACTGTTTTAAAGTCACAGTGTGTACATGTACATGTTATATACAGTACTGCAAAACTAAACTGTCTTGTATCTTGGAACAAAGTGAGTTTTTGCCAGTAAAAACACAATATAATATTAGAAAAATGTCTGGTTTTCAAAAACTATTGGGTGTCCTCTGGTCTAGTTAGAACAACACAGGTTTCAGACATCATATGGATTTGTTAAATCACCAGAACACCTGATTTAACATAATAAAGGACTGATTAGTCCAATTGAGTGATAATTACAGTTAATACTGGGCTTCCTGAAGGAGAGGTCTGGAAATGGTTAAACTGTAAAAAAGTTCATACTGAGTAAACTGTTTACATTTTAAAAACTAATTAATTGAATTATGCAGTAAACAGATTTAATTCCTCTTGGGTGTCACTGCCATGATATTGAAATGTATGGTCCAGTATTCACCTATATATAGTCATTATGTACTAATACATACACAAGTCAATGCAAGTGTATGTGCAGGCCTGTCCATACACACCCAGAGACTTCGCTTCTTGGAAAAAAACACTTACCTGATTTGTCCTGAACTCTTTCTCTTTATTTCTTCCTGAGTTCTCTTTCTCTCTCTCTCTCTCTCTCTCTCTCTCTCTCTCTCTCTCTATTTCTCTCTGTCTCCTAAACTTCTTTAATTTGGCTGCGGACTTCATTTCCCATACTGTCCTCCAGTCGAGAGCCCAAACCTACAGCGGCAGCAGCATCAGCGGCGCTGAAAGCCCCGCGGGACGCTGGAGAGGTGGGGTGGGTGTGTGTGTGGTGGTAGGGGGTGTTAGCGGAGAGCAGAGGGGAGTGTGAGTGTGTGTGTGAGAGAGTGTGTGTGTCAGTCAGTGAGCAAACCTGGCGCTGAGCGGCAGCACTGCACCTCCAACGCTGCTGTCAGCGCGCGCTTACATCCACCTCAGCTCCAGCCTCGCGCCAGCCTTTTCCGTCCAGTCCGCGCAGGGCTTTTCTCTCTCTCTTTCTCTCTGCCTCTCTCTCCCTCTCTCTCCGTAGCCCCCCTCCTTCATCGATACATGCGACTGAAGCGCGCTCTCCACCCGGGAAAAATCCTCCTCAGTCGGCCCCACCGCCTCACACTTTCCTCGGCGAGCTGCGGCCACTTTCTCCCTCCTCCTCCTCTTCCTCTTCCACCACCACATGCTCTTCGGTCATCGCCGCTGCTTTCTCTCTCCTGTCACGGACCGAGACGCGGAAAAAAAGAGAGAAAAAAAGTTTCGCTTGTGAGGATAAAAGGACGTCCAGGACCTGCGGAGGGATTGTACTAAACACCGTAAGTGATCCTAATGCTTCCTCTGAGACTATGTCGCGTTCTCTGTCCTTTTAAGTGGACTTGTTTAGCGTTTTCCCCCTCATTCAGCGGAAAACTCGCTCCTAGTTTTCGTCTATCTGTAAGGAGAACTAGTCTAAACTGACTCGTCTGTTGAGTGAAGAAGTTAAATCCACACTGTTTTTTACCCGGGACGCTCATGTCCTGTTGTTTCATGTAAGTTGCTTCTAAGAGGTTTTAACGCGAACAGCTCTTCCTTTATTATCACTTTTTGTCAGCTTGTTCATTTCTTTGTCCACTTGTGTGGCCGCATCTCTAATTGGACATCTTTTAATGTGCGGTAATGACTTCTGTGTGAGGAGCCGGGGTTTCAGCTGTTCTGACAGTTTCTGAACTCTCTTTAAAATGTAAACAGTGCACCAAGTGTGAGTTTAGAACTGCATTTTGTGTGCTTTTTCTTCTGTCTGTCTTCTGTCTGGTGCCAGAAGTTACCCAAATAAGTCGAAAAGTATTGTTTACTGACTGTTTGGAAATGTCGTGACTCACTGCTTCAGCGCGGTTTATAAAAATGAAGAATCCACTCAGAACCAGAAAACACGTAAACACAGTCAGTATGAACTGGAGTTTAACGCTGAGGTGATTTCCTCTGTGGTGGTGAATTCAGACTTAAGGCCTACAGAGCTACAGACAAACTAGCCAAACAAGTAAGTAACTAAGGTCAGTAAACCGCTCACATTAGTAAACTGCTCCATTTGAAAGCGTGAGTTAAACTAAAGTGGAAATACTTTCACTCAGCCGAGTCTCTGTGAAGGAGAGATGCTAACGGCTAAAAGTGTTCTTTATCAGATAACCGGCTCCTGAAAAGTTTGTTTCTGAGGTAATTTCTCTCTCTCTCGGGTTCAGTAACGTGGTGTCAGCTATCTCGGTTTTCTAGAAAACGCAGAAAGCAGAGTTTTGTGCGATTTTAAGGCGTGTGAGGGCTGCTTCGTTTTATTGCTCCGGGTTTTTTTATGGCCGTCTCAGCAATCAGAGCTGGAATTAAGAGCCCAATGTTGCGGCTGATTCAGATTTGGCGTTGAAGCCACAGCGCTGGAGCCTCCAGGCCCCCCACACACACACTCACACAGACAGATACACACACACCCGGGCTCTGGTGTGTCTCTGAAACAGGTTCGAGGGTTTGGATGCTCAGTCAGGCTGTGTGGAGAAGAAGGAAACACCTGTTTGTGCGGATCCCACCGCTGAGCACGGTTCTCCTCTCCGCTCCCAGATTTAACGGATATCTCCCAGATTATTAACGTCCTGCTAAATGTACAGGAGACGAGATTGATGGACTGACTTTATTCACTTTATTCATACGCATCACATCTGATGTCTGTAAATGTTTCAGAAAATGCATTCGTTACGATTTTTAGATTTTTAAATATGTTTATTTACTTATTTTTACAGTTTTAGTATTTTGTAATATGATTTAAATCCACATATTTAGCAATATGTTCTGTGGAACATGAAAAACCGCTTAAAAGCCCTAAACGTTAGTTTTACAGTGTAAATTCTAAATAATAAAAGTCTCCTCTCGGCTCGTCGGGACGCAGTGATTTTATGCAACAAGTTATTATTAATTTTTTTTTATTCCTCCTGCAAGCTCACATATTTTATATAGCTGTATATTAATAAAGAGCTTATTTTAATCATGGAGTTTTAACGTATAGATATATACATAATTTAATATTTTTATTTTTTTTAACTAATAAGATTTTTTTTCATGTCCTCGCTGGAGTAAAATAAATCTTGCTTCTTTTTAACTGCACATTATAATAGTAACGCATAAATAATTTCATGTTCATTTATGTTATTATTAAATGGCTGTTATAATAATATGGACCAAATAAAACCCACCAGGCTGGAATATAGTAGTAATAAAAATCTGTAATATTAGTTATTTTTATTCATGTTTTTACTCTGTTCTGTAGTTTGCTCGTTCACTTGCAGGGTGTGATGTAAAAGATCGCAATTATTCCTCCACATATATTTTTCCCCTTGTAATTTCTGTTTGTAGTGCGGTTCATAAATCTTAATAATCGGCCCTGAAATGTTTATAGAGCGTGCAGCAAGGTCTCCACATGCTCGCACATCCTGCTGTGTGTTTAATCCCGGAAAAGTGGAGAATGAAATAATTTACAGATAAACTCGTTTGCTGACAGTGTACATAGGAGCGCGCGGCTCCAGATAAGAGCTGAATTATAGCGTTAATATTAAAATACTGTACCATTATCACGAATCAATCGCTTATAATGAGGAAAAATTGGCTATTAATTAGAGTTAAATTTCCACAGGCGCGGTGGAGATCTCCACTCAGCTTCTGCTTTTAAAACCTTTTAAAACAGTGGAGTGAAGTGATTGAGGAACTGAAGCGCTTTCTGACTCCCCCACTTCTCCTCAAAGAGCCCGTAAAAGAGCCTCATTTGATCTCATTAATCTGACTCCTAATTTCATCAGGCTGACGGCTGATCAGCGCTGTGCTGTTCGGTTTTGCTCCGCGGTGCTGAAGAGAGAAAGAGAGAGAGAGAGATAGAGAGAGGGGGGAAGAGGAGCTGAGTGTGGGTCTGGGCTCGTTGGGTCTGTGGTGTTGTTGGTAATTAGTGATCGCGACCCGCGTGTTTAACAGATGATGAAGAGGGGTAAAGACGGAGAGAGAGAAAGAGAGAGAGACAGAGAGGGATCTCCAGATCGGACAAATGTGCCGAATCTGCCTGTGAATGTTTGGAGAGTTTTTTCGGGCTGGTTTGAGCGGAGAACACAAAACTCTGTGGAAGTTCAATCACAGCTCGTTCGTTAGAGTTTAGTGTGTTAAAGTGTCCTCGGCCGGCTCTGCTCTCCTGATCATGAGCTGATAAGCTCCTCACATGTGTTCTCAGTACTTGTTGAAACTGTGCTTGTCCGTTTAAAGTCCTGTGTGTGTGTGTGGTCTGAGCGCTCAGAGCCGCCGCTCCGACCGGACAGCGCACTTTGTAGAGGGACTCAGACAGAAAGAGCAAGAGAGAAAGACTTCTAATTTGGGGAAAACGGGAAAAAACAGAAGAGAGAAATGACAAAAACTATGCTTTTAAAACGACGATAAACCGAGAAATAAATATATATTTAATAATAATATATATTTAATAATATATAATTAATAAATTAAAGCATTTTATATATATATATATATGTATATATATATATATATATAAAATCACATGCATATATATTGTGTATACATAGATATATGTTAAATATATATTTTTAATTACGTTTTCTTTTTCGTATTTTATTTTATTCGTTAAAACTGTATTTTCTTAGTTAAATATACTTTTTTTGCACATTTTATTTTCTTATATTATTTATAATCGTTTTAATTAAACAATTTTATTGTGGCGTTTTATTTTGATTTTATTCGTTTTGCGTGTTTTTTCTGCGCTGCTTTGATTGTTTTATATACATGTTAATTCGTGGAACCGAAAAAATCGCTGCGATTTATTTTTATTTATATTTTTATAACAAATAGTGCAGTATTTTTATATCTAAATGATCTGCCGTGCATGTATAAATTAATGAGTTTGCGGTGATATTAGAGCTCCGTTCTTTAACTGACAGGAACTCGTTCTGATCTCAGTAGAGGTGAGTTCGTCTCTCTGATAAAAACAGAGCAGCTCACTCTCTGTCCGCTCTGCGTCAGCCTCTAAATCATCTGAAGAGTTAGATCTGTTTATTCACCTCATACCGTCTTCATTTATTTTAAAACAAAGTGTTTGATAAAATGATTAAAATCATTAAAATGATCCTTAAACGGCGGATTTCCTGATTTCTGTCCTGATCACTGAAACTAATGTTTGCAGTCCAGAATGAGACTTTCATTTGAAGCCCCTCTCCTCGCTCCCCGACGCTGATCTGAATGTGTCTTTCAGTGCTGTAGAATAAGTTTAAGTTCATTTCGCCCGCTCTCCCCGCAGGCATCACCAGTGCATTTGCCTGAGATCGATCACGCGCTGATATCTATCAACTTCTTCCAGTGCTGCTTATTACCCTCCCATAGAGCCACAGCCACCGTGCACGCGCTTTGAGAATGGCATTTACTCAGTTACACACAGCGGATCATTACAGAGCCACTTATACACACACATCCTGGATTTAAATATGCACCCTTAAGACAGTGTGTGAGACTTAGGGGGCGGTCACGACAGGGATCAGAACGAGACAGAAACAGTCTTGCTTAGGTTTCGGTTAATAACTGGTATAATAACGCTAAAACTTCAATATATCAGGCGGTCGCTTCTGCAGGCTCGATTTTATCTGTGAGAGAATCTGTCAATAGGAAACGTCACTGTAAACAATTATCTATTATTGAGCAGAGCCTGGTTTGCCAGTAGTGATCAGTAGGCCAAATCAGGGTAAAGTGTCTCTCTCCCTCTCTCTCTCTCTCTCTCTGTCTGTCTGAGTATGTATGTGTAGCAGTGGACGGAGGTGGGGTGAGTGGGGGGGCTCCTTTGTAGTCCAGTGCTGGCTCTGAGCACGGAGGAGCCAGACACCTTGCAAATAATCTGGGCTTAGTGAGGAATTAGTTGGCTCAGGTGGGTGGGATGAGACAAACAGTCCGTCAGCGGCTGAAATGAATGAATAGCCCGGGCTAGGACAGGAAACTTTGAAAATCATTTTGTTCACAATGAATCAATGTTGGCCCCGGAGAGGCCAGGCGCAAAGCTTTTATTTGAAAAAGCAAATCCTCGCTCGCTCGAGCCTCACGTCACTTTTTTTGCTCTATTTTTGTCGCCCGCTGAGCAAATTGTGCAAATTCTGGCGGCGGTGGTTTGAGGAGGAGGGGGGCGTTAAAATAAAAAAAAAGCCTCAAAGTTTAGTGGTGGTCCCCACTTGTGCACTGGTGTGCGTATGCAGACGGCAGCGTCCAATAAAGCAGTGATTGATCGCTGCTATTTATTGCTGGCTTTTATTGTGTGTCATACACTGTG